AATTAATCTCTTGAGTATTCCTTTAAAGCGATTTGATGATGGTTTCATTACTGCATGTCAAGTCACCGTGATGACCTCAAAAATAGCAAAGTGGAACCCATATGTCCTCTTGATTTTCACATGTCTTGGACTTCTGTTGGAAGAGTGTTAATTACTCATAAGGAGTCTCCTCAAGCTCTATTTATGAATTAGTGTTTAGATGAGTAATTCGAACTCAAACTGGAATTCTTTGACAGCAGTCATTGACTCCAGCTTGAAAACGTTAAATATAGCAGTGTGGGTGGCGATATTTTAATCCCTCTGCAACGCCCTCTGGTCAATCACAATTGCAGCAAAAATCAGCCTGATTTTCTCCGGTTCATTTTTCATTTCCAACAGTTTAGCCAACATCCATATAGCTCGATAAAGTAGATTGCTTTTTCGAATCATAAAGTAAGCTAAGCTGCACAATTTGGGGAAAAATCCTTATGCGAAGCAAAGTGATGGATTGCTAAGTAAGCCTCCCTCCCCCCATCAATCTACTGAAGAATGTTATTTACCATATTGTGAAGAATGTTATTTACCATATTTACAAATGATGATAAAGAATGTAGTGTGTTTTAATGAGGCCTGAATTTGAACTGAGGTGGTCAAGTTTTTTATCCTTAACCGGACAGATTTTTAGCGTGCAATTGTTTGAGCTTACAAAATAAAAGCAATCTAATTTTTCCGACTATTTTCGAAAAAAAAATGACGGAATGATTGTGCTCGAAAACCTTCGGAATGCCAAGCGAGTATGCTTGCATAAAACTAAAATGCCAATGGCCTTGCTACTCATTACCCGCATGAAAGTTATCCGCATGGCAAATTATCCGCATTCATAGTCCTTCCAAAATTTATTGAGGCAAGCTAAATGGTTTTCTCTTTCAATTTTTGAGAAAAGCAACGAATATATATGCTCGGGCGGCTTTTTTATTCAGACCAATTCTCAGAAATGTTTCCCTCGGGCAAGCGATCCGTGGATCTTTGTTGTCCCATGAGGGACGCGATCATCACTTGACTACCCTGACTTCTTGCTTGTCGTGAAACTGTCACAAACAGACTAATTTAATATGACAGCGCTGTGATACTTTGATGCGGAATGTTTAACGGGCATTATTTACGCGTGACAAACTATTCGGCATCACAAAATAGTTCCAAATTCAATTGAGCCAGGCTAATTGACATTATTAATTCCAGACAAGATTCCCAATATTCAACTTGAAATTCATAGTTCGTCAACCTTAGTTAACTAACCAAAAACTTAAAACACTCGCGTCAAGCAATACGTCATTTGACCAACAGTATCCTTCATTCCAGTTAATGAGGAATAACAAGTCAAGCAAAATGTCATTTGACCAATAGTAGTCTTCATTTCATTTAATTACTAATAACAAGTCAAGCAATAGATCATTTGAACAATAGAGCCTTTATTCCATTCAATTAGGAATAAAAAGTCAAGCAATACGTCATTTGACCAATAGTAGCCTTTATTCTATTCAATTAGGAATAATAAGTCAAGCAAAACGTCATTTGACCAATAGTAGTCTTCATTCCATTTAATTAGGAATAATTAGGAGCTCTAAGTACTGCGCCTATACCCATTGGTTGCAGCATACGTATTAATAACAGCATACTCACTCAAAAAATCTGGAAAGTTCATTGCTGTTAAAAAATTAAACGAAAATTCCCTCGGAATAAACTTTCCAATTGCAAACTTTCATTATTTTCGGCAAAAAGACGAATTTTTGTACTCGGGGTGTTTTTTTATCCAGAATAATTTCGACTTTTAAACTAGCATTTTTTGATGGAAGTTTTCTTCATTCAAAAAGTATTGTTGTCCTGAGCTCAAATTTAAAAGAATTTTTCACTTAAACTTTTTCACATTTCTAAACTTAGTGGGTTTGAAGATTGCTCATGTGGCCAATTTGATACAATTATTGCGCTATATATTTCGCGCTAATATTCTTTCAGCGGTGATTTGAATCGTTTTAGAAATCGGCCTGTAGATTAGAAAACAAACTAGAAAACAAATTGCTGCATAGACTTAAAAGGCAGTCGGAATGTTCAGGGCTTTGCCATGATACCAGCAGTCTTGTTGTCTTTCATTTTAAAAAGATTTCGGGTTCAAAATGCTAATTTGGGAAAAGTAACGCGCAATACTGTGTGTTTTTATATTAAATAAACCACAACTTAATTACGCTCTAGACGCAAAGTGTATATATATTTTTGTTTTCCATGGATGAAGATTGTAAAATGAATTCAAAATTTAAACAAAAATTATAAATAAAACTACTTTAGAGCCGTTAAGGAACATTTAGGAATATTCAGGGCATCCGCCTTTTTATGATCAGTCTTGTTATCTTTTCAATTGGAAAATTTTGAGAAGACCTATATTTATAGGTGATATCTACACAAATCTGGAAACAAAATTACTAGTACCAAGGCGAGGTACTGAAAATTCACATAAGTCCCGTATTTTGTCTGAAGCAATTCTGCCTCGCAAAATTTGATGAAAAGCTCTGTAAACAAACTCACCTCGATTTCGAAATTCTATCCATAAAAAATCTCAAATACAATTTGATGTATTTTGTGTCTATCAGTTGGAACAAAAAAAGCTTGGACTTCTTTTATATTAGAACACAACTGCTCGTATCAGGGCATATACCTTGAATGTTCCGACTGCTTTTTAGTGTCTATGGAGCAGTGTTAAAAAAATAAATTAGTCGAATTTTCCCTGGGAATAAACTTTCCAATTGCAAAGCCTAGAAAGCTTTCTTCTGCCCTCTTACTTGTTGTTTCGACTTGTTTGGCAAAACTGACGGATTTTTTTACTCAGGGTTTTTTGTTTGTGCAGAAAAAATTTGACTTTTTAACTAGCTTTTTTTAATGAAATTTTTTTATATCGTTCGATGGAGGCAAATATTAAAAAAATAGCGGTCAAGTGACTTTTTTTGTCACCGAATGTTGACCAAAAATATACATTAAATAATGTGATTTTGATTAGAGAACCCCTCCAATAATTCAAGACGTATTGATATTGATGTGGCAGATTCCGAACAGGCCTTAAAGGGTCTGTTTTTCCGATAACCACTTTTTAACCTGGATCACTTGCTAAAATTGGGTAGTTATTAATTACCATATTGTTAAATACTGATAAAAGATGTAATGTGTTATAGGGAGTTATTTATCATGAACAAGGCTGAGCTTAGGTAATTATTTTTAGGTTACAAATTCAGCGCAAATCACATTTTTATCTTTTCTGCTGAAATGAGACCTCAATTTTTGAATTCATTTACGACAACAAGCGAATTGTAGTGCGGGAAATAAACTTTCTTCCTTGTAAGCTACTTTCCTACAGGCGACAGGTCGGCGGTTCGATTGGCTTGCCTGAAATTTTTTATTCAATAAAAGGAAATTGAATTTTTTTTTGGAAAATTTGATCTGCAGGACTATCGTTTGTCTTTTTACTTTTGTCGACTGATTTTTCAAAGCATCGATATTTCTTTTTTTTAGAGCAAAGTAAATTGTAATTCAAAGTCCCTCTGTAGTTTGTAAGTTTATCAAACCGATTTGTTTTAATAATTTTTTTTCGTTTTTTTGCCTAAATGGGTTCCATTAATGCTGTATAGCCTTACCTACTTTCTTTTCCGACGTTTAAAGTGCAAAAATATTTGCTCTGTTATGTGTCAGAGAGAACAGGTAATAAGAACTTCGAAGTTCAAAATATTATACCTCAAAATTTTTTGTTGAAAGCATTTCGTTTTCTGCGTCTACCCAAGTATTGTTGGCTTAGTTTCTACTTGGCAAATAGTTTAGAGTGTTTTTAACAGCCATTGTTGTCTTCCTTGACGTGTTTTCCTCAAAATGAAGATAACTTGAGACAAACAGACGAAATTTTTGAAGATGATGTTTTTTTTCCGATTTTAAAAAAAATAAAAATGTCTTCATCTTTGTTGCTTCCGTCTCATTTTCTGTCTACAATGCTGTTTGCGCTACATATCTGGTGTTGTAAAGTTTGAATATTTATTGGGTTGTTCTTCGCCTAAAAACCAATTGAATATAATTTCTTAAATGTTTTAAGACTAATGAAACGTTTTCAAAAACATGTTTCAAATCGAAAACTCGAGCTCTAAACATTGATACAACAGAATTATCTATCACAATTGTTTCGCATGAAAAAAGCACCGCCAGGACATCTCCCGTATGATAAAATATACTTTTAAAAAATATATCTATATCATAAAAGTAAGATCTGTCTGATATCAAGATTGTACATTGAAGAACGACGCGCGTCCAGACAATTCGGCCAAAGACAATTCAACCGATATGAAATTGAGCCCAAAATATACAGATAATTCAGCCAAAACGTCAAAAGTTAGAATTTCTTCTTTAAATATTTAATAGTGCAGGTGCGCCAACAGAGGGTAGGACTCAGTACCAAATTTAGAGTCTGTTATCGCCACAAAACGGCTACGCATGCGTAGCGCGCCCACCGGCGACCTTAAAACGAAAACTAAATTGAATTCAGATGTTTTTGAATCTAACCCTTTTGAAAAACTGGCATAACTGTCTGCGACTGAATTATCTCAGTATTTTTGGCTGAAATTTCTGAACTTCAAATTGGCTGAATTGTCTTTGGGTGAATTGTCTGTAGAATCACTGAGGGAAATATAGAGTATCCCGGATAGAACTATTCATCAGGAAACTAATCATTTTTAAAGTATTTATCAAAAGTTCTTCGAAAGTTCTTCGAAAGAGTCCCGAATTAATGTCAAGTCTAACTTAACTGACTCTGGCAAACGACGAAAAGCCTTTTTTCAGCCTTTAAATGAGTTTAAATCGAGTAAAAAACGACAAAACGATAATTAACGAACTATATCAGCCAAATAACGAGCTTCTAAATAAATTTCAGAAACAATCCACAATAAAAAAGCCACTGTTAAAAAACTTATGTAACATTCATCATACAGACGCTTTTTTTTAATCACGGAAGCTTTTGCTCTTTTTCAAAGGCTGAAAAAGAGCAAAATGAGCAAAGAAACTCGCTAAATGGTATGCATTGATATGGACACTGTCACTTCAATCTGTTCTGTTTTTAGATCGATCACATTGTATAGAGATGAATAAATACTTATTCACATTTTGATCACAGCAAAAATAATTGTTTTCAAATGGGCTTTCTCCAGGTGTTATTCGGGTATTGTGTGATGTTTTCTGTGGTGTGTTGGCTCTTCTTGAATAGAGTGAAAGGAGGCGCTGTCTTTTTCGACTGTTGATGCTTCTTTGCTGTGAAATGAGGGCATGATATCAACAAGGGACCTGCCCCTAGTGGCTCTTAGCGAGAAGTACTTCTTCCTTTTTTCCTCGAAGTCCTTTCGCCTAGCCTCTTCTTCCACTGAAACAAGAACAAATTAAATTTCAAAAAGGAAGGAGGATATGAACTGGTAATCGCACCCACTTTGCAATCGATGCTGTATTCGATCGAAACCCAATTCACCGTAAGGCGAGTTCCTATATTTTTCAAGCTCCAAAATTGAAGACCGATTAGAATGAGTTTTATGTCAATTAGGATGAATGATAATTATTAGAACACATTTTGCGGCCAATTTAGCAACTACCAGGTCAAGTCAAAAGAAAGTAGTAAAATTGTTGGCCAACAAAAAAGAACTGAAAATAACAGTTTTTGTGAAAATTTTTTTTCATCTAGTGACTTGAAGGAAATTTAAGGGCGTTAAACTTTGAGAATCTCATCGATAAAATTCATTTTTTAAAATTTTGCTTTTTTATAAAAGCCATCCTAACTTTACGAAACTTGATAAACAGGTTTTTACCCGGAAATTATAAAAGCTATACTCATTTTTGAAAAAAAAAACCCTTTTTATAAAAGGCAAAAATTGCTTTTCATTTAACAAAGGATTTAAAAATGAGCGTGAAAAAGTGTCCTCTAACTTCAATTCTACCATCAAAACTCAACCATTTGGATAAAATCGGTTATATTTTGTTCGAAAGTGATGCCAAAAAGATAGGCGATATATTTTCTGGTGTTTTGAAGTTTTTGTGCTGGAAAAGTTTGAAATAGCTTCGAAACTTCAAAGTTTTCAAAATTCATTTGAGCTTAAAGTCATTCCATAACTTGAAACAAGCTTTACGCTTTCTACTTGTTCGATTTAGTGGGTTGATATTAGACGAAAAGCTAAAATTTGTAGCCGCTTTTTACCTTTTCTCTGAGAACTTTTTACCTTCATTGAAATCGTTTGAATCACGGCTCTAAGGGTTTTGATAGGAAATATCAGTCAATCTGTTTTTCTTTGCCTGGAAAAAAATAAAAATAAAACACACCCAACCACAAAGCTCTTTCACGTTTTCTGTTTTGCGGTCTAAACTTGCTCGCTTTGCTTTTTTCGGCGCTTCTGCATTTCGGCTGTTTTTAACTCTCACTAAAAAAATAGAATCTAAATTAATGAAAGGTCATTCGACTTGTTAAAAACACTTCAAAAATTTATCACTAATTATTGTCGCAAAGTTATCCTTAATTCGTAGCTCCTCGAAAAATTAGGGAACGTAAGAGTTTTAATTCAGGGATGCCCGCACTGTCAAACTTGAGATTGAAATTGATTTAGATAGATTTTCGGCAGATTATAAAATGCATGAAAATCAATTTACGGTATCCCACTGAGATACGTTATCAATTTAGAATGGATTTAAATAAATTTTCACTATAGAAAACAGATGAATCTTTTGGCTAAAAAATCAAATTCAATCAGCTTAAATGGATTTTTTCAGGGTACTGAAAACCATCATAAAACCCAACGAAATTGAATTAACTCTTGATTACTGCTTTGGTCTGCTTTTGACTTGGAACTTCAATACAATTTTGTACTAAAAAAAATCGATTAGAGCTTGGGAGACTAAGAGTCAATCGAGAAGAGTTGTTTTCCGCAAAATTTTGAGTTCAAGGGAACCATTTTTATATTAGTCATTTTTAAGGCTTCCTGCAATGATGAGAGAAAAATTTGCTTCAAATGTAGTTTTTATTATCAACTTTTAGGCAAAATTTTGATATCAATTGATCAATTGAGTTTAGTTGGTTTTAAACCATTGTTAGAGCTTTGCTACATTATCTGTTTAATTTTGATTGCAATACCTTTTTTTTAGCATAAGCAGATCCAGTATTTTTGCGAAGGAGGAGCGTGGTGGGTTTTCCAAAAAAGAAATAATGATTTTATTACGTCGAATAACTTGTATTTCCAAGTTTTTCTAAAAAAAAACCTATTTTGACAAGTTTTTTTTTGCGTCACAGGCAAGTGTCGACCAGAACTGGATGTAAGACAATATCAAAATGGGGACCCTTTGGGCTGTAAGGGATCCCCGAGAAAAGATAGAAAGGAAGCGTCTCCATCCCCGCCCCATCCTAGCTACCTAAATCCGCGGGGAAGTACAAGAGTGCCGAAGTACAACAGTGCCGAAAAAAGTTTAATTTAACTGTGCCGAAAATGATATTTTTTTCAACAGTGCCGAAAGTTTCAACAAATTTCACCAATTTAAGTATAATCGAAAATTAAACGGCAATAGTTCACAAACTTAAATGATTTTATGAATTTTTGAGCGAGAAAATTTGCAACTTAGACGTTTTGACGCCAAAATATTTCTTTATTTGCAGTTGCAGACATTTTGGCTCCAAAATTGGAGTGATTTTTTTGTTAATTATTGTCAGTAAAATCCCGCTCTTTAGAAATTGCGTTTAAATTATTCTGAAATTTTTCCGCTTTTTTCGGCACTGCTGTACTCCGGCACTGTTGAACGCTCCCAAATCCGCGCCTGATTAATTATTCTTGTGACCACTGAACGTGAGAGTAATCTTATATTATTAGGGCGTGCTTAAGTTGTTTTGGTTTTTACGCAAAATCAAGTGCCACAATTAACTGTCGGAAGAAGTCGAGGGATATACAATATTTAAGCCCTTGCAGTCTGATTCGAACAGTATTGAAAAATTTCCAAACAAATGCCTTAAAGTAGAGAAAAAAAGGTTGAAAAATTCAAGTTTTGGTTAATGTTTGAGCAAAGTGGGCGTGCCAGCAGACCTATAACACGTAAATAAGACGTGTTGTAATTTTTACGTCTTATTTACGTGTTATAGGTCTGCTGGCACGCTCACTTTGCTCAAACATTAACCAAAACTTGAATTTTTCAACCTTTTTTCTCTACTTTAAGGCATTTGTTTGGAAGTTTTTCAATACTGTTCGAATCAGACTGCAAGGGCTTAAATATTGTATATCCCTCGACTTCTTCCGACAGTTAATTGTGACTGTCGGAAGAAGTCGAGGGATATTCAATATTTAAGCCTTTGCAGTCTGATTCGAACAGTATTGAAAAATTTCCAAACAAATGCCTTAAAGTAGAGAAAAAGGTTGAAAAATTCAAGTTTTGGTTAATGTTTGAGCAAAGTGAGCGTGCCAGCAGACCTATAACACGTAAATAAGACGTAAAAACTTAGCTTGAACATATAACTTTTTGAAGCTTCTCTAAGCGCCTTCTTGACAAAAAATAAACATATCTTTCAAAATAAAAAAACTGCATTTTTTGACAAGTTTTTTTTTTTGGTAAAAATGTTGTCAAATAGGCAATTTGCACTCTTTTTGTTCCGACTTTTGTAAGGATAGTAACGGAATTTTTGTGTTCGTGTGGTTTTTTTCTTTCAGTTTTTTAACCAGCCCTTTTTGACGGATTTTTTTATCATACAAAAGGTATTGTAGTCCTGAGCTTAAATTTGAAAAAATATTTCACCTATGATAGTTTTTTTTTGTAAAACTATTGGGGTTAAAAATTGCCATTTTGGCCAATTTTGGATAATTAACGCGCGATATATTTTGCGTAAGCGCAGATTTAAACCGTCTTAGATTTCGTTTTAAACTAGTTAAAGGATGCTTTTTTTATAATTGATATGTTACGATGAGCAAAATCTATCACTTTGCATTTATTATGGCGTTTGAGGGTTGATTTCCACAAAAAAATCTGAATTTTTAGAAATTTTTTTCATTTTATTGTATTTAATTTTCTTAATGTTATTACTGCTCCATAGACCTTGAAAGACAGTCGAAACAGTCAGGGCTTCGCCCTGGTACGAGCCGTCCGGGTTTATTTTATTACTGCTCCATAGACCTTAAAAGGCAGTCGGAACATTCACGGTTTTGCCCTGATACGAGCAGTTTTGTTAACGATTGTATCTCTTTTCTAGGCTTTCGTTCAGATCTGCACATAGCCGCACAAAAAAATCTAAATTTGCAAAAAAGTATAAGATTTTTGATCACTTCCTTTAAAGAAAGATTTGATAAAACCATAGTCTAGCTTATTTTCCAATAGATTTATTAGATTTATTTTTAGATTTGAGCAATATACAGCATGGCCTGGGAGGGTTTAGGGAGCAGCCATGGGTGAAATTTAATGGTATTCAATTTCTTTGAAAGAAAAATAGCAAGCATACAATTGAATAACCTATCGGCTTTCAGCAATTTTGCACCGAAACAAAATTCAGGAGAGCTTGGGGAAATATTAGTTTGCTGGACCCAATAAAAAGTTCAACGAAGTTTGCATCAGTTTGAGAAAACCCTTCATTCTCCTTGCGAGTCAAAAAATCTCTCCATTTGTTCAACATTTCGATCACAGAAAAATGACAACATTTAAAAAGTTTGAGAACATTTGCCCGCTAAAACTAATAGCAATTAAACTGACATTTGAGAAAGAATTATACTTCAACATAATAAGAACAAAAAAATAATATTTTTGCTGCATCCTTGGTATGGCAATTGTTTAGGTTTTTATCAGTTTCTATTTCATTACAAAAAAAATCGATCAATTTCATTATTAGGGTAATTGTTTTACTGAGTCTTTGTTCTAATGGGATATTAAGTTCTAAAACCTATTGAGAAACTATGATGTATCAATAATTAAACCGCAAAAGTCTCGCGGCGCACCAATCTCTGTTTTGTTTTCTTAACAAATTGGTACCATCTGGAAACAAAACGCTGAAATTTCGTTACCAGGCTTAACCGTTGATTGCTGCCATCATAGGGTTAGATATTCTTGCATAGATACCATAAGAAGCGAACAATTTAGTATATTGCAATTTCAATATTTAAAGATAAAAACTAATAGTTCCGAGCTCTGAAAGTGGGGACGAACTTTGTATTTGTGTGTTTCTCTTTTTATGTAACTTTTTCTTTTCCATGCAATTCAGGTGCCGCAAATAAACGTCAAATGGGGTCAATTTGATTGACATTAGAACATTTGGAATACTTCTTTTTGTAATCTAATTTTAGCTTGTAATGGCCGTAAAGGATTTTTATTAAATTTTAAAAAAATATACAACTTGATATCCAGTATTTTAAGCTGCCGCTAGCGTTTTCTCTGAATTGCTTTCGGCAAAAAAAATAACAAATCAGAAAATAGTTTTTAAGAAATTGTAAGTAAAATCATTATTAATGTTTTTGTATTTTTAAACCTATTCCACCACCTACACATACGCACAAAAAAAAACAAATTTGACGACGAAACTGTTTTTTTAATCTTTAAAAACTACCGTGCCGTGGTCGGAAACTTCTGTGCTAATTTCATAGAAAACGGCATCTTTTGTTTATCTACTATTTATAAACTTCATTGCAAGCAACGACTCACATTTTTTCTCGTTGCACTCTGTTTTTTCAGCCACTCCTTGCACCATCAGAGCTACTATGTATGCAAACAGGTGTTCCCACGCATGCAGTGTTTTGTTGTTGAAGTTGCCCATCTTGGAAAGAGAGTGCGCATACTCTGGTCCAAAAAACTGAAACACAAAATCAATATGAACGACAAAGTTTACACCAAACTTTTCAAAATATGATTTTTAAGTCTAAATGACGCGGTTGTCTCACTTTGGTTAATGGGTACAGCGACAACTAGCAGCAAAAGACAACTCGCAAAATTTTAGAAAAACAAGAGCTCGCAAAAATGGGGAATTTAACTTTAAACGCAAAAATTTCGGTGTAAGGTCGCCAGTAGGCGCGCTACGATGCTATAACCGGCTCTTGATTTTGTATAAAGCCATAGCCAGTGTTGGCAGGACTTTATACGATCTTTAATTGTACTAAATAAAACCTGTCAATTTCCATGATTATTGAGAAAGACATGTTTTACTCAAACATTTATGTCAATTCCACAACTAATTTAAAGAGTATTTAATATGAACTTTCTCAATTATATGTCAATTTTTTTAACCAGTACTTCAGATGAGGTACTGAATTTTTCACAAGTACTGAAAACAGAGACTTAAACGTTTTTACTTAACTTTATTTCCCCTAGTGTGTTATCGGGAAATCACTCGTCAAAACAAATGAATAAAATCAGGTATGACAGCAAATGTTGTCAGAATTTTTTGAAAACAGACAATTTTTTTTGCTCGGTGGCCAGCAAGTTTTAATTTCTCCTGACTTTTTGAATCATAAAATTTTGAGAAAAAAAACATCCCATCGTCCAAAGTTTTTAGAAACTCAAAAAAAAACAACGAAAAATAAGCAATCTAATAGTTTATGATACAAAAAACGTTTTTTTTTGTCGGCTATTGAAATTTTTCAGTTCATTAGCTTCAAAAAAACTCAAATGTTGCATCAAATGTTGGTCAGACGAAACCAATCTAATTCCTTTCATGTTTGCAATACTTTTTAGTCAAAACGAGCGCATAACATTGCACTTTTTTAAGTTTTACATAATTCAAAGGCCTAAAATCAACTTTATATCAACTTACACAAAAATTCGATCATTTTCTAAATTTGGCTAAACGTTAAAAAGCACATCTGATGTAACTGTAGATGCAGTTGACTTTGAATTGGAACATTTTGTATATTTTTTTAAAAACTTTATTTAAAAATAAGGTAGGAAAACAAGTGTTATTTTTTGTGACATTGATTATGCTCAAGTTCAGTATTTTTTAGCATTGAGACAAAGCTACCAAATGTTCGACACTGAGGCAATAATCGAGTCACGATCATAAATTTGCAATCTACATAGAGAATTTTTTGCTCCTTATAAAGTAAATATCAATATTTCCAATGTGTTTACCTCCAACTCAATTTAAAAGCTGTTTCTTCGGTTTTAACCAATTCGACAAAAGCAAACGATTGTAATAATATTTTTGAGATTGTCCATAAAGATGTCTGTCTTTTTCTGGAATTATTGTTCCGGGCAATGTAGACTTCAGAAATATCACACTGGAAGTTTTAGAGTATGTATAACAAATTTTTATTACTGATTAACAAATGCTAACTCCTCTTGTGACTATAACATTAGGTACAAAAACTTTTTGAGCAATTGAAAAAAGTTAAGTTAATTTTTTCTTTGAATATTTATTTTTCACATACTTTGTGACAAAAAACGCGTGGCACGAACACTATGGGCTACTTGCACAGCATTCAATTATCTTAGTTGATTTTCGACACAATAAATATTACATCTTATTCTTGTTTGCTAGTTTTGCAGAATTTAAGTACAAGAGGTGGAAACTTGTTTGTTTGCGAGTAAACACTGAATCTGATATACTTTTTTTAGAGTTACTATACATATGTAGCATGCTGTTTTTTGTTTAGACATTTGAAAAAATTCGGAATATTTATGCTTGGGGTAGTTTATTTTATTCAGTCAACTTAATACAAAATTCCACCTGTGATTTTTAATTATAAGGTTCTGGGGGGTTTGAAGATTGCTAATTGGCCGACTAGGGATCAGTGCGGTCTTATAACACGCGTAAACAAAGGATTATTTCGTTCCAAATCGAATTGAGGGGAGTCTTTCGGGTCTACTATTATAAAACGAGACGCAAAAAATATCCCTTTGTAGTTTACATTAGAGTTTGTGGAATAAATTCAAGATCAAAAATTAAAAAACATATATTTTTTGTTTCAAAATTTTTCAATTTCTCAGTTAATAAAACTTTTCAATTGGCTTTACAAGGCAGTCCAAAGGTGCAGTTTTAGTTTAGATATAATTTATTTCGCTCATATGTGGTTGCTTATTTGCCGCACTGTTTTGACGTCATCAGGTTGCTTCAAATCCGGTTGTTGTTTTGCCAATTGGTTTTGACACGAGAAGCAACTTGGTGAGTAGAAAAGTTAAATTAAAAACAAAATTGAAAATTTGGTAACTGAAAAAAAAAACATAATTTTTACGACTCTCGAAGAAAATTACCGAGAATTTGTGCACGGGGTGTTTTTTTCAAGAAAGTTTTAGTTTTTTTAACAATCAAATTTTGACAGAACTTTATCACATTTGAAAAGAAATGCTGATTTCAGTTCAAATGTAAAACTATATTTCACTTTTCTCTAGTATACTTCTCTACGATTTGCATTAAGCAATGAGGGTTTGAAAACTCCGTTTAGCCTAGCCGAGACAAACAACTACCGAAAACTTTTGTGCGATTAAAGCGTAAGCGGAGATTTAATCCGGCTTGAAAATCGTTCCAAGTTGAGTTGAGGTATGCGACTTGATCTATTTAAAACTTCGCTATTTGCAAAATGCATCATTTTGTTCTTTGCATAGCGTGCGGGGGATAATTTCAACTTTTGGACTACGTTAAAATCCTCCCCTCTCCCCCAACTGTTTAGGGGGGAGTATGTGTTTCAATTTTCAGCCAATCAGAACAGAGCATTTTACAATCATGGCGATATTATTTTTAATTGAACACTTGGGGTGGAGAATCTTAAATAGGTCCATTTGAAGGGAAGATGAAAATTTCAGTTTGCTCTATGTTGCGATCGTCTCGGTGAAAAATTTGATATTTTATTGCCGTCTCAATTAAAAATAATTTAGTTTTGGCCGTCTGCGATAAACTCGGGTTTGTTTTACATTTTTTCATCAAAACATGTGGTTGTTTGAATATAAATTGCTTCACAGAAAGCCTATTAATGTTTTCTATTACACGCTCTCTAAAAATCTGCCTGTGTTGCAATTTTGACGACAATATTTTTTTTCTTGGATTTGCCTATGCTGCAATACTTTTTTCTCGGAGATGCCTGTGCTGCAATATTTTTTCTGGGAGTTGCCTGTGCTGCAATTTTGACGACAATATTTCTTTCTCGGAGTTTTGACGTCGGACAATTTCGGAGTTGCTTGAAACAAGTTAAACAAAATCAGCCCATTTCTGAGGCGACTTAATAGTTCGATTTTTTGAAAACTGAAATTAATCAATTATGATGTCATCAAGAGGGTAAAACTAACACAGCATACTAATTGTTCCGACTTTCGCAGCGAAAGTAATGGAATATTTGTGCTCGCGGTGGTTTTTTTCTTCAATCAACTTTTTACGTGTTTTTATATCATTCAAAAGGTATTGTTATCTTGAGCCTAAATTTGAAAAGATATTTCACCTGTGATTATTTTATGTAAAAATTGTGGGACTAAAAGTTTACCATTTTGGGAAAATTAACGCGGTATAAATTTAGCGCTATTAAAGCGTGAGCAGAGATTTAATCCGTCTTATAAATTGCTCCAAATTGGTTGAAGGAAGCTTATTTGCCCTAATTGATTTGTTACTAAGAGCGATTCCTTGAAAGAGGGGGGAAATATGATGTGGGGGAAATTAAAAAAAAATTTCATACTTTACTGCTCTATAGACCTTAAAAGGCAGTCTGAACTTTTACGGCTTCGCCTTGATACGAGCAGTCGTCTTTGTATTTCGATTTTTACGCAGTTGAAGGGTTTGGTATTGAGTGCAGAATCTTCCAACGAACGAAGCGAAAAAAGTGTTTGATGTGGAGAATTAAAGAAGAAACTTAATTGAGTTGTTTTAAATCACAGTTTTGAAAAAAACTTCAAAAATGCTACATGAAATGATTTTTATGGCCCGAAAACATGTGAAATGATTAATTTTTCAAACTAAAGCGTGAGCAAGTTCAAGCATGGAAGATGAAATGAAACATTTTTATTTCACATGCTTTTTCATGTCCAAATCAAAGATAGCTAAATCTGGAGATTTGCTTTCTTTAAACATTGGCGTCTGCATTAAAGGCTTATCATCTTGGTCGAGGCCGCATTCAATTAAGAACTAGCTTTGAAATTGGTTCAGTTTTTGTTTAATCAACTACAGAAGTGAAAATCGCCTAAAATTTTAATATGCAAACTTAAAATAGAATTTAAGTACAAAAGCGAAGCAGAGCTTCGCAATACGCAATATTCCACATAAACATTGCGTTGTAGAATAGCGGACAAAAAATAGACGGAAGCAACTAAATCGAAAAAATTATTTTTCAAAAAAAAAATGACACGTGCAAACGGGTTGCTGCCAGTTGAGCCGAAAACAAAATGTCAAAGAAAAATTGAGGTTTAAAGTTTTGAATTCGAAGTTTTCCTTTTGATTTTTTTGACGATTTAATTTCACTTTTTAAATATTTCCAAAAAAATTTCGCCTGTAAGAAAACCTGTTTACAGGGAGAAAGTCATGTTCCTGATCACAACTCACTTGCACTCGCAAGTGAAATAAGAACGTTATTCATCCTAGATTCGCCCCTGTATTTATGACAACATCTTATGTCTCAATTTTACTTTTTAAAGATTTGTATAGAAAGATAAAGCTATTTTAGACTGAAGTTTGGAAGATTTGAGTTTTTTTAAGATAGTTAAGAGTTGTCTTGTTTTTTCAGGGTTTCAACGATAGACCAAATGTTTCTTGGCATTTCGTTGGACTTTTTGGGTGGAACTGGTTCTTTTTCTGAGGTTTTACGCGCTTCTGCAGTAGTGACATTAGGTGAAATTGTAGATAATCTGGGTTGAGGCTCTGCTGGTTTGTTATTTCTTTTAAGAATGAGTTCAAGCAACCTTTCCTGTCCATCGGCTGGTTTAGTCTCAATCCCAGCTGACCTTATGAAACGATTATCTTCTGAACTTTTACTTCTCAAAGCGTTCAAAGCTTCTCTGTGACTCATTAGGTATTCTTGGATGATCGAGTGTGAAATAAGAGAACTCTGGTTTTGATTGGCAGGCAACACCCGAATTGCGGGTTGAAAGGCTTGCGGCTGAGGCTGAGGCGGCGGTGCAAGTAAAGCATGGTTTACAAGTTGCGGTACAAGTTTTGGAATGTGGGGGGCAGCTGGCCCACTTGGGTAAAAAGAATGGGGGGCTATAATAGGCTGATACAGAGGGAAGGGGTAAAAATCATGCAACGAGAACTCATGTTCGGGCCTTCGTTCTTTCTTCAGACGTCTTCGTGCGTTAGCGAACCACGTGCTGACTTGAGTAAGGGTCATTTTGGTGACAATTGATAGCATGAGTTTCTCGCTTTTGGTGGGGTAGGGGTTGTCTCGGTTTTCCTCCAGCCATACTCGGAGGGGGTAGGTGTTTTCCTTGACTGCCGTCGCACTGTTGGGGGAGGAAGATGGTGGCTGCGATGATCCGTTATTGTTAGCCAGAAGTCCATATCTGTAAACATTAAAAATTATAATTAACCTTATTTTGAAAAAAGGCAGAATCAGAACTAGGGCAATTTGTCTCGGAAAATTTCAACTTTTTTGACTATTTTGCCTGGAACACAATTGTCCGGGGCACAAATGTCGATGCACCAAATTAAGAGTTTAAGAAATGATTAACAGAAGCAAGAGCAGCTGCTTGTTTTGTACCTAGCACAGGTGGTGCCAATTTTTTGATATTTCATATTTCCTCTGTTTCATAAACGAGTTCATTAAGTGACAACAATATTATTCGTTAAGTTGGTTTATTCATAAAGTATGATAATTAATTATAGCAAGAAGAAAATGGCTATTGAGCTTGGCACGTAGCGCCTCAAATCTAATAATCTCGATAATTTACAGAAATCTAAAAACACTTTAAGTCAAACAAGTTAATTTTCCGAGCCGATCTTAAAATTCAACAAAAAAAACCATATATTTCTAAATGTTTGAAATACTGTAAGAAGAAATTTTCCAATTTCATTCTGCGCCTGAAATTTATTGCCATCTGGCGAATTTTTGAGAAGCTAGCTCAAGCTAATTTTTTTTTTAAAAATCGCGCCTTTCCCGTGCACACTTGTTACCAAATTTAGAAAAATTAAGGGTTCATATTTCTTACAGCTCAACATCTTACTAAATAGTTTGGTAGTGAATTAGCCAATTCATCGTAAAAGCTTGACTAAAACAGGACATTTTGAGAATTCTCATCCTCAGTCTTTGTTAGAAGTCAATTACTGGACCGTTAAGTAATTTTCTGTCAAGATGGTAAAATAAATTTATCCGGGTGGGTTCATTAGGCTTATTAAATTTCAGTGTCAATTTTAGCTGATTTGAAGTACATCCTAGCCGATTGTCCCCGAAGAAAAAATGTGCAAATAATCATATCTTCTTGTAGTTGTAGTGTTGAAGTGCAATTTAAGTGTATTTTGGTTTTTGTAATCAATAATCAGATGAAAACTAAAGATATTTACACGACTGGGCATATAGTTTTTTTTTCAAATTACTGAACTGATTTGGTGCCGATATAAACCCGATCTATACCTTACTATAACTGTATTTTTATCTATTTGAACATTCAATCAATGACCTGTGTATCTCTACATCTATGTCCTTTTTTACATCCTAACTTAATTAACTAGAGATGATTTCCCGGGAACAAAGTCTCCTGATTTCGTTAGCTGCAGATCAAAAATGAACTTTTCATTCTTATTTGATCAAAATGTGAAATTTCTTTTTTAAAGATATATATATATATATCTACCCAAAACTGATGGTTATATGCATGATTTTTTCCTACCAATTGGTTACTCATTTTCCTTACCGTACAGAAAAAAAAGAATTTCCGTTCCAAAGTGCTTGAAAGTAATTATTTTCAAATGAGCCAGACAAAATTGACTAGCTAAATCTAATTTTGTCTCGACAACTTCCCCTAGGGGGCTTTGAGAGTTCAGAGTGGCACACAAGTGACGCCATAAATTAAGAAGAATCAATATTTTTTGTTCTTTTTTCTTTTCGAGATGGATTCGACCCTATCATTACCAAAACGAGCCCTCCCCCCTTGGTACTTTCCTACGTCATCATCTCTTAGGCGCTTTCAAAACGGGTCTTTACGGTTACGCCCCCCCCCCCTAAATGATGAAAAATTAAAATAAAAAATCTTATAACAAAATTGGATTGATATCACTAGGAAATGCAGGATATTGATATGGGAATGGTCAAAACGAAGCATTTCTACTTGATTTAGCCTCTAACTAGCTTTTTTATCAATTTTTTTTGCAGTTTTCTGCAGATAAGTTTCATAAAAAGGATGCCAAAATGCAGTTTTTTATTATTTATTTTGCATTTTTTGCATTTTTCTAGCTTGATTTAGAGCTCGGGATATAAGCTGCTGCATTCCTGGGTAAAATCAGTCCAATTTTGTAAAAAAAAATAATTCATTTACATTTTTCATCAATAAGGGGGCTTTAACCAAAAAGACCCTGAAAAACTGCCCACAAACGTTTTTTTTGGCCTGTTATTTTTCAAAAATTGCCTGCAGCGCAGAAGACTTTGCCATGATCTTTACTCTTTATGGTAATTTACGAGAGCTCGGGAAATCTATCTGGCCTGAAAACAAATCCGGACCATCTATTTGACCTGATCTAGAACAGAGTTCATCAACCCGCCGCATAAAAGCCTAGAGCGACATCTGTTCCTTGTGAAAGCCTCGAAACGTCATTTTGATATAATGCATTATATTCCGTGTGAAAAACTGATTATCTTTTTGGGGCTAACTTAATTTCCTATTTCAGGGGTCTCTGGCTATTCAATTTGTTCTCCTGCCCGTACAATTTGATTGATTTTCTAATCAAGGGTGTACGGGTTGAGTTGTTTTCCTGATTAAATTCAAGGACGGCAGAAGGAAAAATTTCGCGGAATCTTAATTTGTTGTCTATTTTTGTTTAACTGTCCGTTTCGATTAAAATTGTTGCATTTTTGTCACCTTAAATGGCTTGGAAGAGATCATAAAAAAACTCGAACCGGAATAATTTTTAAAAATCTTGAACTAATTAGCAAAGTACAGCAAAAACAAAATGATTGAAGTTTAAGAATATTACTTTTAATTTGGAAAAAAAACACGCTTTAACTCATGATTATGGAAAATAAAAACAATTTCATTTGGAACAAATTATGCATTAACTTGAAATTGTAGAAAAAAACTGTTGAGTTTGGAAAAAGTCACGCACTAAATTGAAATTGGAAAAAAAGTTGTAATTTGGAAAAAAAAATCACGCACTAACTTGAGATTTCAGAAAATTAAAAGTTTAATTTGGAAAAAAAATCACGCTCTAACTTGAGATTTCAGAAAAAAAAATGGTTTAGTTCAAAAAACAGTACTCACTTTAGTATGAATTCCTCCTCTCGCGTGAGCACTTTGGCACCACTGTTACTGTTGGTGTTCATGCATGCAGCACATCTGCATACTTTTGATTGGCTACTGCTACTGCTAATGTTGTGACATTGTGGAGATGGATGAGGATTGTAGGCCGATGAAATGGCTCCTCCTCCCACTGCTTCACTCATCACTTTGTCCAACTGGCACTGCTGAAATCAACCAATCACAATCCAGGAGTGCAATCATTTTGAACAAACTCTAGCGTTTTTGATTTTTTTTCACAACTGAACAAAAAAGCATGGATTGTATTTAAAAAAAACAGTTTTCACATATAATTTAAGTATTATGTTGGTTAAAATTATCGTAAATGAATGCTCCCTAGCGAATAAAAGGACTAAAGTTTTGTGAAATAAAAATAAACTTACTAAGATATGTGATTGCTGTTGTGCATTGGCGAGGTTGAATCGCGATGAGTCAAAATTTCGGTGCACTTGCATCTTGAGGAATCGCAAAACGTTCGATCTTCAGGTCTGGTTTCTGGAAGTTCTTCGCGAGAAAAACTCTTTCGTGTTGTTTAGTTTTAGTTTTAGTTTTTTTTTTCGCGTATTCTATTTGTCAATAGTTGAAGAATTGATGGACTGATAGTATTTTTCAGTAACTGTTTTCTTCTCTTTTTGGCAAATTTGAAATCGGAGTCTGTGATTGGTCAGCGGCTCTGCTCTGTTGGATCCGGCTGCCGATGTTGGTAATCTGATTGATTGTTGCTGCTGGTTTTTGTTTCTTGTCTTCAATCGACAAATAATACTTTGTAAGATAGAAAAACTTATCAAGTATCCGTGAAGGGTGTTTAAGTTTGAGTTATAGAGCTGTAGAAACTGACAAATATCATTAGCCATTACCGGCGAGACCCCTCATCGCCAAATCAGAATTCACAACTCGCACATGCAGTCATTGTCGTAATGTAATCAGCAGAAAACTCAAGTTCCGCTCATTACCAGGTGTGGCTTTTGAGCATTTGTAAAAACTCGGCTCTTCGCAAGTAGTTGAGACGGAAGCTCATTTTGATCTTGTTTTCATCGTTTTGTTTTAACTGCTCTGCAGTAAATGATCTTTTTACCTGAGAGCTACTTTATCTCAAATCATATTCAAGCCAGCGTTAACCGACGAATCAAGAGCTATATTCAAGTTGAATACAGAAAACGTGTGAAAAATTACCATAATTACATGAGTTTTATCGCAGAAAATACCAATTGTCGGCTTGTTGATTTGCAACGAGTTTTCTCCACTTAAAAATTTAAAACTCGTGTTAATACTTCTAACCAGGTGATAAGATTAAGACAAGAGTTTAAGCACACTTGAGCTGGTTAAAATTTATAACCCGTAGTCATTACAATGGCTTAATTGATATTTTACGATCGTTCATAATTGAGCATCAATCGAAGCTCGTCTTAAATCCAGTCCGTTAAGTTCTTTTTTAACACAAGATGGTGTGATTGCTACTTGTAAGCTCGACAAATAGAATATCATAAAACCATAAAACTTTTTTAACTTCAAACTTCAAACAAATTTTCGCGAACTTGCTGAAACTCAATTTATGAATACACTTGAGACCTTCATGGCAAGTATCTTACACAGCACTTGAACACATTTCTGACATGCTTAATAATTTTAGCTTTAGCAGGCCTACCATTATATTGTCAATGAGTTTTTCACACCTGTGAACATAGCAATTGCACTATAATTATAACAAACATCATCAGAGTAATCAACATCATCACAGCAAATCAGAGAAAATCTACCAATGCTTTAAAATGCTCAACTCTCTTTCAAGTTTGCCGATAATCTTCACAACTTGTGGCCCCTTGTCACGTTATCATCATGTATAATTAAATTCCTTAACCACCCAGAATAAATTTCCAATAAACAAATTTTAGTTTGAAATATATTTTTTTCTTAATTTCGATCAAAAAAATTTCATGACTCTAACGTCATTAGACAAAAAATATTCTCAGAAAACAAGAAGGCTTTTTAAAAAAAGACCAAAAATGAAGTTTCTCGGCCTATTTCTTGGCAATGCTAATCTGCATTCTAGTCTAAGTCTCAAGAGACAGCACCTGAAAAGCCCTGAAAATTGCCTCTTTGACCTAAAATACTACCCTGCCAATTAAAACCCAATTTGGCAGACCACCTAGAATAGATTTAATTTCAGTCGCATTTAATTAGTCCTTCATTTGAGTTAAGTAAAACTACCTCATTTTTTTAAATTCACTTCACTGAGATTACAACGACAGTCACAGAGGAAGCAGTTCACCACAGAGCTCTAAAATTGAAAAAAATCAAGGAGGGGATTATAAATTATGACGTGAAAGAAACAAGAAAAAAAGAAAAAGACAAAAATCTTTGATGATCAGTCACAGTGGATAGTTTGATCAGATGTCCGCCTCTCCGCCGAAAAATTTGGCGAAAAAATAGCTTTAAAAAGCATGTCGGTCTTAATCAGGGGAACCAAAATAGAATTTTACCTCAAAGCAAATTTTTTATAATGATAATTCAAGCTTAGTCTTGGCTGATTAGCGCCACAAATTCTGTAGGCTTACATCTAAAAATTATCACCGCGTCTTCAATCAAAAAACGCAGAAGTTCAGGAAACGTTCAATAGATTTTGTTTCAGCTAGCATAATTGATTAACTCACTTCACTTGCTAAGCTTCAGACATTTTCGATGGCAGAGAAATTGACAAACTACAGGAAAACAAAAACAATTCGGTCAATTTAACCATCAGTCGTAAGTTCTAGTTATCGGAAAAAAGGACAAATTTTACCGGTTAGAAACTGACAAGAAATAAAAAATAAAATTGATCTTCCCACACAGAAGCGCTGAATTTTCAATTAGAAAATGACTTAGAAACAACTGTTATGGCAAAGTTTCTATATTTAGTTCGAATTAGACGGCAAAAATTGGAGCTTAAATTATGCAACTAACTTAGATTGATGATTTTTGCTAAAAAAAGATTTAAGCCTCCTGACCAAAAAAAAACTAAGGAAAATCAGGCAAAAATTAAACAAGACTGCTCGTATCAGTGGAGTATTGTTCGCTTTAAAAAAGTTTTTAAATTTTCAAAACACAAAAAAAATCATAATATATTTTCAGGATTTTTTGTGGAAATTATCCCCCCCTGTGTAAAGTAGAAAGTGGTATGTTTATCATTGAGAAAAAAAATACATAAACCAAATAACCAAATTTAGAACGAATTCTAAGACGGATTAAACCTCTGCCTACGCGTTAACAGCACGAAAAATACCAAGTGTCAATTATCGAAATCCTTGAAACCCCATAAAACTATGAAAACTGATCATAGTTGAAAGATTTTTTTAAAATTGAGCACAAAACAACAATACCTTTCAGCTGATTTTAAATATATTAATATCGTCAAAAACTATTAGTTAAAAAGTCAAAAATTATCTGGAGAAAAAAAGCACCCGTGCACAAATTTTCGGACTCTCTCTTCGAAAGTCGGAGCAACAAAACTGCTTGCATCAAGACAAACGCTCTCACTGCTTTGTAATATTTCTGCGGTATTCTTTGCTTTAAACGTTGATTACATTTTCAAAAGTGAGCAAAGCTACTCACATCAGGGCAAAACCTTGAATTTTTCGACTGCTTTTTTTCTTTGAGTAGTTTGAAAAATAGCAATTGATGACAATTTCGAAAAAAAAACTTCAAAAAAATAAAGGTTTTTGAAAACCATCCCCACGTTATGTACAGCAAAGTAATATATTTTGCATATATCAATAAACAAGACTGCTCGTATCAGACCCAAGCCCTGAATGTTACGGCTGTCGATAAGCTGGTCTCAAATAATTTTTGGTTAGTGAAAAAATTACAAACAATGAAATCTACGCTCAATATTAAAAGTAAAGTATGGAATTATTAAGGACCATTAGCCTGCCTCAATCAAATTGGAACGATTATGTGGTGCGGGATAATTCGACAAGCATAATGCGCTTCAAACATTCAGGACTGTGACCTGGTACTAGCAGTCTTGCTTATTTATATAAGCAAAATATATTACTTTGTACTGTACATAATAGCGAGGGGATCGTTTACAAAAAACCCTATTTTTTTCTTTTAAAACTTTTCTTTTAAAAACGTTCAGTATCAAAGTATCACAGCGCTCTTTTATCAGTGAAATTAGTCTATTATAACAATTAGTCTAATATAAAAATCTTGCAGTCTGGGTAGTCTAGTGGTTGTAGCGCTCCTTCTGGGATCACGAAAACCTATGGATCGATCCCCAGAGAGAACTGTTTTTGAGAATTGGTCTGAATTAAAAAACCACCCGAGCATATATTTCTCACTATCTTCGAAAATCGAAACAAAAAATAGGCCAAAAGCAAAAGTTGGAAAGATTTCTAAGGGAGAATAAAGGAAGCGTTAAAGGCATGACTAAGGGAGCGTTAAAGGCATGACAAACAAAGACAAACTCTACCGGTTGGAAAATGAAAAAAAAAAATTATTCCTTCTCTGAGCCGCTGAATTTTCGACTTTGTTGAAATATTACCTCAAAACAATTGTTACGTCCAAATTTCTTTTTTTAGTACGGAATAATTCGCCAAGCGTAAATAATGCGCGTTAAACTTTCAGCATCAAAGTGCTCTTTTAGTGACTTTAGTCTATAAGTGAGCGTTTTACCGTAAGCTTGCTGGTCAGGATAGTCTAGTGCTGAGCGCGATCTCTCTGAGACCACGTTTATCTATGGGTCGATCCCCCGAGGGGAAAAAATTTTGAGAATTGGTCTGATTTAAAAAACCACCCGAGCAATTAGATTCCTTACTTTCTTCGAAATTCGGAACAACAAATCACTTAATTCTATTTGGAACAATATCTAAGACGGATTATAACTCCGCTTACGCGTTAATAGCATGAAATACATCGGGTTTTAATTGTCTCAAATTGGCCAAATATGCTATCTTTAAATCCCCATAACTTAAAAAAAATTGATTACAGGAGAAATATCTTTTTTACTGTGAGCTCAAGACAACAATACCTTTTAAATGATACAAAAAATTCCGTCAAAAATTGCTAGTTAAAACATCGAAATGTTTCTGGAGAGAAAAACCACACCGAGCACAAATATTCATTCATTTTCTTCAAAAATAGTTGAAGCAAAAACAGACGCGATTATTCATTAAGAAATTTTTTACCTTAAATTATGTTGTTTCAAAGTATGTCTTTCCGATAAAATAGCCCGTCATCAAATTAACAACGTGCGAGTTTTCATCTTTATTGGCAACTTAATGTCACATTATAAAAGAAACATTTTCTTTGATCAGGTAATTCGCACGTTCATATCAATTATCAGCATCGTGTAGCTCAAATTGACCATTTGACTTTATTTTATAATTTTCTGAATGCGTTTCTCATTACATGTCTGGTACATAGATGCGAAGCGTGTTCAGTAGTCAATTTTTTAATAACATCCTAATAATTCAACCAGCAGGATAATCGATTTTTGATAATCGAGTTATGCATTGACAGGAATGCTTGTATCAGGGCAAAGTCTTGATTCTTCCTACTACCTTTTTAACTTTGTAAGTTGTAAAATTTTGCTTTTAAAAAAGATAATTTTTTTAAAATAGTTCACGTCAGTAGATAACTGGAATCTTCACGCTCATTGAGTGTCACAAACTGGCAATTGACAAACACCTATAAATAAACAAAACAAGAATGCAGGTTACAAATCTTTTCAACTTGGAGTTGAAGTTTTCAACTTGGAGTAGAAGTTTTCAACTTTTTTCAGATTTTATCAAAGGTTACGTCATAAAACTGTTACGCCGGAAAAGCCATTTGAAAAAACTGCGTGAAGAAAAAGTCAGCAAGCGCAAATATTCCTCACTTTCTGCGGAGTTCTTGAATTAAAAGAGCAACTCACAAAAAATAAGCATAAAAATTACTGTTTTTTCAAAGACAAAATGATCTGAGCTATTTTGCCTCTTTCAGGAACGAACATTAGACAGGCAAAAGGCTCCATTAAATTTCGAATTTTCACTCAAAAAATCAGTACAAGGGCAAAA